CAATAATTAGAATAATTATAATAAAAAGTAAGAATTTATTAAGCAAAATATAATTTTTTATAATAATAATAATAATAATAATTATTATTATTATTATTTTATTTTTAATCTTTGAGTTGTGTTTTTATTTGTAAAATTTATCTCATTCTAGCATTAGCAATAAATTCTCTCTAATTTTTCATATTATCTCATTATTTATGTCTTAATTATTACGTTTGTTATTTACCATTTAGAGTTGTTATCTTTTTATTTTTGTATATTTGTAGAATGTAGATGATGATTCAATTTTATATTTATGATTTATCTTTTTTCTTATTATGATTTTTTTATATATTTACAATAATAATAAAATATAATTGCATTAATTTATAACATTAACGTGTAGTTTTTCTACTGTTGTGTGTTACAAATTGATAAAATTTGCGTGTACCTACGTTACCGAAACTTTAGGCAATATTAATTTATCAAAATGTATTCCCTATAATTACTATTTTACTAAATCAATCAATTTAAATAGAAATTATTTTATTAACATAATAATTTATAAGGCTAATGTGTAGTGACTCTACCTTTATGCGTTATAAATTGTTAGGACCTATGTGTGCCAATATTACTTTGGTTCAATACAACATAAATTTATCAAATGAAATTTTAAATCTTTTATTAAATAAATATATATTTTTTAATTAATTCAAATATATTTACTTCTTTTATTAAAATGAAATTAATCTTATATTTTAAAATTTCTTAAGTCATACTTCTAATTTTGATAAATTAAATAATTAACATTTTTTTACTTATTTATACAAATTTTTATAATATTGATGTATAATTTACATTACTTTCGATTATCCAATAAATTATAAGAAGTTTATGTATAGTTTACGCTGTCTTAAATTTCTTTCAAGATTAATCATCATCACTTCAAATTCAAATAGTTCATCTACGAATAAAATATTTTTTAACCATTTGCAGTATAGTTTTGTGATCTTCCTTCACTTTCTGTTTCTCGAAGGCTACATGTATAATCGCGTTATCGTATATTCTAAACATTATAATTTTACAAAATAATTTTAATTTTAAAATAAATTTTCTTTTACTAAACCTAATTTTAATCGATTAATTTCATAATTTTTAGATAGAATTACGTGACTTTGAGTTCTCCATTGCACCCAGGGATTCGTAGGAATGGGAATCGGACTCGTCAAGTCAAAATAATTTTTAAAATAAATTTTTTTTTGTTAAGATACCCAAACAATATTTCAATAAATAAGTTTTCTTCTTCTAAAGTGAAAATAAATAAAAAAATTGTTGTTTAGGGGTTAAATAAATATTTTTCAAAATTAAGATGAATTTGCACAATTAATTTAAGGTAACCGTTTTTAAACGGACTTTATAGGATACTAATACCTTCCATACATGTAAATGACTCCCGAACTCATTTTTGGTTTCAAAGATCGTATTATATTTAAGTTTTTCCAAGATTTTTCTTAAAATAAACTTTGGTGGAGACTCATCTGATATCTTTGAAAGCATTTTTTGCCGTACTGTTGCGACCGTCTAGTTGCGACAAAAAGGAATCGAGTACCCTTTCGATTTTATCCTAGGACGAAGAGTATCAACTACCCTCTCAGTCTCACCCTTGAACAAAAAGTACCAACAACCCCTTCGGTCTTATCCTAGGATGAAGGTATCAATCACCCCTTCAGTCGCCTTAAAATAAATTAACATTATAATTAGGTTAAGTAACCAATAAAGAAATAATTAATTATCTAAATTATCAGATGATTAATTCAAGGCTGACTTGCCAAGCTCATCAAACCCAATATAGTACTTATAAAAGGAAAATAAGAAAGACAGGTAAAAGAGTTAACTACAGAATATTAAATAACATTTATTACTTTATACTGAGTACTTACTTGATTGCCGAAGTGTTATTGCAGGTACTCACTCCCATCTCGAATAAAAGAAAACTTGAGATTTTATCAAGAATATCTAAAAGGAACATGAAGACAAGAAGAGGCAAAACTAGAGATCTTGATAGCAGAAAAGTGAACGGATGAATTCTTACTAAGAACAATATTAGAAGTTGTAACTTCTACATTAAATAAAAAAAATTGATAAAAATATATCTTCATATATTCTACACTTCAGGAATTATTTTTTGAAATTAGGCTTTCACATTTTGCAAATTAATTTTTAAAATTATTAGTCTTTTTCAAAAATAAGATTCTAGAATTAAGATTTATTTTCCTCTTTCAAAAATCAATTTTCACAACTACTACTTATTTTTGGAAGTAAGTTTCCAAAATTAAATTAAATTCCAATTTTAAGTTATCACACTTCTGAAATTAATTTTTTCAATTATCAACTATTTATTGAATCTATTTTCAGAATTAAAATTTTATGTTTCTGAAAATAAATTTATAAAATTAATATTTTACACTTTCAAAAATTAGTTTTATACTTTTAAATGTTAATTTTTAGAAATATTAACCATTTCTAGAATTAGGACTTTACTCATCAACATTCAATAATTTTTACATATATTTTTAAACTTAAGTTTTAAAAATATTTTTTTTATATAAGTTTCCAGAATTTAATTTCAGAAGTCAATTTTAGACATATTTTCAAACTTTAAAAATATTTTTTTATTTTTAAAAAGAAAAATAAACATACTCTTAAATATTAAAATTGAACACGTGAATAAATTTAGACATTTTTAGTTCAAACCACGAAGTCATGCACTCAAGAATTGCCAAAATTTTTTTAAGGTAAATATAATCATAGATTGACATTGATAGTCCACAAATTCAATAGTCATTTTTTATGATTATTTTTAATTTTTAATATATTATTATCTATATTTCTTATTTAAAAACTTGTTTAAATTTTGGCGTCAATCATCAATACATACATGTGGCAGCTTTCTTTGCATCTATTACACGTTGACACCTAAATGCTTTTTCCTCTCCGCACTTTCTTTGCATCTATTACACGTTGACACTTAAATGCTTTTTCCTCTCCGCACGATTGTAACACTTGAATTTTTTTTTTCAAACAATTATTTCTGAGTAAAATTATTTTTCAAAAGTTAAAAGGGGATAATCATAAAAATTTCATTTCAATAATTTCAAGTAATTATTTTTATAAAGTATTTCAAAATAAGGTTGAATTACAAATTTGAATCAAATCATTTCTACAGGACTTAATTAATACATTATAATTTCAAAAGAAAAATTTCTTAAGTCTTATAGCAGTTTTATCCATATCCTTCACTGAACTTGGTGTTGATCGTCTTGATCACCTAAAAAATAAATATAAATGTGAGTATTCGACAGTATCATATATAAGTACAAAAATTCACCACGCACGTTTCACCCATTTAATAACATAATTCGAATCATGCATCAAACAAATACAAAGTAATATTTTTCAACATTTCACTCCAATTCACATACAGGTGTACTCACTACATCATCAAACAATCTACATACAATACTCATGTGCGCTCACTGTAGCACTGTAATCACAGTTTTCTGATGTCCTCAATCTCAGGGACTTACTCAGTTTCACACAATGGATGGTCACTGGTTAGCCCTTGCCTCACGAATACAACATGTGCGATCACGGACCCTTAGCAAATATGTTAATCAGAGGTCGAGTTAGGAGGAGAGTGTGTGGCCTATGGTGTACCCACACTCACTGTTGGTATCACTACCACCCTTTTTTCTCCAAGATATTTCTACCGCTCTCATCTTCTACACCTTTAGTGTATCGCTGTAACTATTCATAGCTTCTAACATTTCACAATCACACTCATATTTTTCATGCCATTTTCTCACACATTTGTTCGCATTCTTAATCATATCATGGTATTCATCGCATGTATACACACACACACACAACATCCACTATCCATCACATTATGATTATCACGATTTTCTATCATTCCACACATTTTTCTTACGTTCTATTTCAACTATATTACAACACATGCAAAATAAACAGATTTTAAGCACAATGAGATAGGGTATAGTCTCCCTTTACCTCGAAATAAAGACCCACGATAAAATCATGGTAGAATCGCTCCTATAGGTATCATTACCTTAATTACATGGAATAATTCATGAGAAAATGAAAGAAGGACGAAAATCAAAACCTTAACTTATAAAACTTACCTTCAAGCATATCAAACATAATTTCAACCTTCAATCTTGCACCCAAACAGCTTTGGAGGTAATTTAATTGGTGAAATAGGATTGAGAATCAAGATAATCAAAAAATAGATGAAGAAAAAGAGTAAAAAATGTATTTTTCAAACCCTAAACCCTTCAAATATTCTAGAATTATATTTACTTTAAAATAGAATTTAAATTTTGTAACCAAAATATTAACTTAGTAATTTAAATAAATTTTGATACTGTGTCAATTTTTAGATAACTATTTAAGATAAATTTTAATATCGTTTCTAATTCAAAAGTATTCAACAATCACTAAATTAATAATTGAATTTTTTAAAATGATTGTTCTAATCGGTGAAACATCATATGTAATACAAATTTAGATCTAGTATTTTTTTAATTAAAAACTATATAATTCAATATAATTTTTTATTAATAATAAATACTATAAAATTCAATAAAAACTTATTATTTATCAATTTTTTATTATTTTGCACAGTTTAAAATTTTTTTTTTTAAATATATTAACTAATATTTGATTCCAAAAAACCAAACAAAGGTTGACAAATACTTTATTTAATTGTCACTCTTTAACAGTAAAACCCCGACAATTCGTAATCAAATGTAAGTTTTCTTTTTACCTATGTCTTGGCTAACATTTTGTAGGCTGCATAGATTTAACATATTAATGCATCAAACACAGGTGAATTAAATTACTTTAGATGTTAAAAACATTTGAAAGGGAATGGATATGCTGGGTACATAGTTATGTTGAGTGTGAACACATATTCACTAATTAGTACATGAATATTGTATTTAATTCTCTTTATAAAAATCTGGGTTGGACATTCGAGGGGTGGGAATAGCAACGAGAGGTTTGCTCTTTTTGAGAATAATGCTATATTTGTCGGACACATCAAGCTTTTCTCCTTTGGGTATGGTCCAATCAAATAAGTTCACAAGTGTGGCGAGGAAATATAAAACTGTCCTCTCTGCCATTGCTAATCCAGCACAAATTCTTCGTCCAGACCCAAAGGGAAAATAGTTGAAATCATTCCCACTGAAATCAAATTTAGCATCCAAAAATCTTGTAGGATCAAATTCAAGTGGTTTCTCCCAAATTGAAGGGTCTCTATGAATGGCCCACACATTCACGAATACCCGAGATCCCTTTGGGATTGTATAGCCTCCCACAGTGGTGGTTTCACTAGGGCTGTGAGGTACTAGAAGTGGAAGCACAGGGTGCAACCGAAGAGTTTCTTTCATCACAGCTAGCAAGTAAGGCAACTTATGAATGTGAAACTCTTCGACCATGCTGTCTTTCCCAACAACAGCTTCTAACTCCTCTTGGACTTTCTTCATCACCTCGGGTTTGTGCATCATTTCTGCCATCGCAAACTCAATTGTGTTCGAGGACGTGTCAGTTCCACCCACAACCATGTCCTGTTCATACTCATCCAAAAATTTCACAATATTAGTCATAATATAAAATTGCTTCCTCCTTTTGTTTCTTACCCAAAGATAGGCCACCGATTAAGAAGGTTTGGTGAAGTTTCATGAAGACTTAGAGAAATCACCGTCTCAATGTAGCTAATGATAACCTATTAGGGGATCCCAAATGAGGGAATGTGTTAAACGAAGAAAGGTATATGAAATCAGGAATGAAAAAGAAATCAAACTCCTCCCACCTTACATTGAAAACTCTAGTTATTTTTTAAAAAAATTATCCAATAAAATCCGCCAGATTATTACTTTTTTGTTTTCCAACAATTAAAATATTTTTAACATTAATATTTAAAATTAACTTTAAGCATTTTAATAATTTTTTATCAGAAACAAATATATATATATATATATATCTTATTTTTAATATGATAAATATATTTTAAAAAATTATAATTTTCAATTACTTATCTTAAATTACTTTTATAATAATATGTATTTTAAATAATTTTTTATTACTTAAAATCAATTATAATAAATGATGTAATATTTTCATAATTTAATAATGTGTGTACTGTTTTTTTTTTCTGAAATAGTTTTTTTAAAAACTAATTACATTTTTATTTTTTAAAGAAACACAAAATCGGAGAAGACAATATTATCTGAACTTTACACGTATTACTTAAAAACGACAAATAAATATAGACACTGAAAATGATGTTTTCTGAGTTCGATAAGTGTCAAAACAAGAATAAAGTATCAAACCATAATTTTTAAATTATTTATTAATAAAATATTTTAAAAAATAGATTAATTAAAATAATAAATATTAAAAATGTATTTAAAAGGTTATTTTAAAAATTAATTATTAAATAAAAATTGATTTAGAAGATAATTATTAATAAGTAAGAATTGTAAAATTAGATTAATCCCAAACTTGAAAAAATGAATCTTAGAAATACACACTTTCTTGACTCAGAATTCGGATCCTCTCTTGTTCTAGTGGAAACATGAGTCTCATGTTGCCATTTACTTAAACAAATTTTAAATAACTTAAATAAATTAAAAATAGTTTAAACGAATTATATAAAAAAAAGTAAATTATGTAAAAACTAACAAAATATTATTAAAGGATAAAATTTTATAAATTTATTATTAAAGTTATTTTACTTATCCAAAAACATTTAATTGTGACAATAAATATAAATAAAAAATTTATTTTATTCTATTAATGGTACATAATTGTTTACAATAAAATTTATCTAAAAAAAATTTATTAATATATAAACAAGTCAGCGTTATTCTCATTTTCTCTCATTTATTATTGAATAATATTTAAAATAAATAAAATAGAATAAAATGTCTTAACTTATTCATTATCTCATTCTTTCTTATTTATTTTAGATGATATTTGATATGAATAGAATAAAATAAAATGTCTTAACTTCTTCTATTTTTAACTTGTTAATGTATTAATAATTTTTTTTAAGTAAATTTTATTGTGAACATATCATTAATAAAATGAATTCTTTATCAATATTTTACTGTCATAATTAAATATTTTTAAATGAATGAAATTCTACCTTTTAATAATACTATCAGCTTCTATATACTTTTGTATAATTTCCTTAAGCTGTTTAAAATTTAGGGTTTAAAATTTACTTAAACAAATGACAACGTGATGCTCATGGTTCACCATGAGAGGATCCGAATCCAAGTGACCCAACAAACAATTGACCGGGAAAATGAAGATGGTGAAAGGAAACTCACCATGAGGAGAGCCTTAACATGTGCGATGGTGAGTGGTGTGGTGGAACCGCCACCTTCATCCTTCAATTTCAACAAAACCTGCAAAAAATCTTTGCTTTCTTTCCTCTCCTCTTTCCCTTCCATCTTCACCCGTTCACCAATCATCTTCTCAAATATTCCGTCGAACCGGGGCACCAACGAACGCATATGCTTCACCAGCCCTTGCAAATCGAACCGGGCCAAACCGGGGAAAAAATCCGACAGGTTCGGCTTCCCCAAAATCTCCATCATCTCCGTCACCAACTCCCTAAACTCCGCCCCCAAACTTTCTCTCTCCGCTCCTTCCACTGATGCGCCCCACATCATATTCGTTATCACGTTCATCACCGTCAGAAACACCTGTTCCCCAACGTTCACCGAACACCCCACTCGACTGTACAAATACGACATCGTTTTGCGCATCTCTTTCCTGCGGAGATCGTAAACGGAATTCAGGGTGTGGTTGCTCAGCATCTTCAGCACACACACTTTCCTCAGCATACGCCATTCGGGTCCATACGGGGCCCATGCTATGTCGGATCCACCGTAGGTGGCTGCCCAACCGGCGACGGGAACGTCACGGTTCGCGAAAACGATGTCGTTGTCTTTGAGCACCTCGCGAACCGCAGAAGGTGACGACAACACGATGCCGAGCTTGCTCCCGAGACGGAGCTTAAAAATTGGGCCGTGGATCTGGGCCAATTCGGTGAAGTAACACTGAAGGTCCGGGCCCAAGGATAGAAGGTTCCCGAGGAAAGGAAGGCCTGGTGGACCCGGTGGTAGCTTTTGGGCTTTGGGTTTGAGGAAGTAGAGCCATGCATACCAAGTAACCGTTGAAATGACCAACAAAGCAAGAACCATGGTGGTGCTGGTGCTGTGACAATGCCAGTAATCTTTCAGGCTCAGGTTTTGAAACGAAGTTGAGAGAATCATGATGCTATTGCTGAGTTGAGATTTCAGAAAGGAAATAGTTGTAGGATAAATCACAAGATGTGCATGAGATATATAACTAGAGCAGAGAGCGGTAACAAGCGGTGCAACAAAATTATGCAAAAAGAAGATGGCCAATTCAGTTAACCAGAAGGACCGGACCACAAATTTATCATTAGTTTATTTAGTTAAAAAGATATATGGGAATGTGGGAATTTTTTAAATAACCTTTACGTGTAATTAATAATTTTTAATTAATACTAAACTTATGTTTAAGAATGTGATTTTTTTACTTGCATAAAAATTGCTTCTTGGGAATAAAAAATCCTGACATTTAAACTGTTACAGTATACGTCTAACATTGTTTTTATTAATAATTTTTGTAATTTAGTTAATTAATTGCAAAAAAAAAAAAAAAAGTTAGAAAATTATTTTAATTTTAACATCACAGTATTTATATTGACTATTTTAAAATAATTTTAAGATAATATTTTTTAATGCGTTTAGTTAAATTAATTATATAAATGTGTTCCATGTTTATAAACACGTATGTAACTTTTTATATAATTAAATTTCAATTGAAAAGTTTTACTAAATAAAAATTATTTTTAATAAATTAATATATATATATATATATTTAAAGGTTACTTTTTGTTAAGATTTGTAATAAATTTAATTTAATCTAAAGGGATAACATAGTGAGAAGACTAAATTATTTAAATACAATATTTAGTATAAAAATCTGAAAAAATATACAAATTTTGAAGTTATTTGATACAAAAGAAATATTAAGTGTAATAGAAAAATATTAAGTTTTTAATAAACAAATATATCTTTGAACGAAATATAAATTATATATTATGATATTAGTATTTATTTATTTATTTATTTATTTTTAACTTATTTATTCAATAATAGTGTGTTAAATGTTAGTGAAATATTTAATTATATTAAATATTATTTATGGAAGTAGTTTATAAAAATGCTTTTAAAAAGATCAATTACATATAAATTAAAATAATAATTTCTTAACATGTATTATTATTTTTTTAAAAGTTTTAATGGATAAAATACTTTTGTATTCTAAATTTATGTTTAATAAAATATTAATATTTAAAAATATTATTTCTTCATTGTTTTAAACGTTTGAGAAAGCACATCAATATAAAATCGATTTAATATAATAACACTTGAAAATTTAAAATTAGCAAAATCATACAAAAGTCAACTAGTCAATTAAAAAAATTGTTTTTTTTTCCATACACCTTTTGCTGGCTATTCAGAAAACAAAACCAATTTGATGCGACACATACTTTTTCCTTTTTACATCCAAATAAGAGAAGGTAATGCTTTTTAATCTTTTTTAAAATAAAACAGAGTCTTAAGTAATTTTTTTTATCATTAAACATGTTGATCAATTGGTAAAAGATATTTTAACTTAACATGTACTGTGCAGAAAAAGAGAACTCTGTCATCTTCGATGATCTACACAAAAACAAAATAAGTAAATAATATTTGCAGTTTAAAAAATGAATTATTATTATTTAAAAAAAAATTTTCCTACACTTGTTTATTGTTTGACTAAGTGTTTTAGTGAATTTAAATTGAATACAAAATTAAGTGAGGACATAATTATGAAGAAGAATATGGTGTTAAAATGAGTTAACAAAATATTTATTTTATAATAAATTATTTAAAATTATACAAAAATATTTAAAAAACTGATAAAATAATTAACAAGCTTCTTTGACTGTGGCCAATTTAAACAAAATTCTCAATAAATATTTATAAAAAACTAAAATAAATCAAATCATTTTCATAAATTTAAATTATCTTACTTTTTTCTTATTTTTAAAAGTACTTTTATTTAATTTTTCAAATTTTATAATACATAAATTAATTTTAACTTATAAAAAATTATTCACATTACATCCTCATTTAGTTTACACTTATTTAACAATTTTTCCAAACTAAAACAATACCACATTCAATTAAAAACAAAGTTTAACAAAGGAATGATACCTACTAAGTGGCGGGGAAAAAGAGTTAGTACATATCATGCTTTATGCATTTCTCATATTTTGAGTTTTGTTTTTTTTCCCCTAATTTCTTGCCTTTTTTTCGGGCTGTCATTTTTTAATGGTCTTTTTGCTGTGCCGTTAAGACTCCCCTTAATTTACAGTAAATATTTTTTAATAAATACTACAACCATATTTTTAATTATTCGTTAAAATATATTTAAATTTAAAGAAAATGAATCTCATTTTTTCTAACTTTTACTTTAACATATATATATATATATATATATATAAAGTTTAATCAATCAATAAAAATATATTAAACAAAATCATTAAAAAATATATTTCTATCCTTCCTCTTTTATGATCCCCCATCTTCATTTCTCTCGGTAAGTGTGTCATCGATAAACTAATTATTGTATTTCTATTCTTTATTAATTATTCACTAATAATAATATCAAATAAATATTTACTTGAGTTATAATATATTTAGATAAAAAAATATAATTTTGTTTAAAAATATTAAATTTTTTATTTCATATCATATAAATTTACTTGATAATAATTTAATTATTAAAATATAAAAGATAACTGTAAATTAAAATAGCTTTAAATAACGTTAAAATAAAATTATTATTTTAATTAATCTCTGACTGATATTTTTATTTTATTTTATATATTTTATTAAGATTTTGAATATTTATTAAAAAACATAACTCATCCTCTTTTAAAAAATTAAATATTATAATTGATTTAGGTCATTTGGAGTAGGGATAACAATGGGTAGGGTACTATAATACTCATCTCCATGTCTTAAAAAAAATACTCATACCCAATCCCATACTCACATGGGTATGAACATTAATCCTCGTACCCATACCTCTGGGTACCCGCATGCCCATCTTGTACCCATTACCTGCGCTAGTTTGAAATATTTATAAAGAAAAATATGTTTATATAATTTCACATAAATAGCATAATAATACAAAAATTTAATATGTAGTTGCTGAACAAAGTACAAACATAGATAAAAAATAAATATTCAAAGATCACAAGTGCTAAATGTATTTTAATATAATAAATTTTTAAACTAAAATTCTTAGAAACAATATTGAAACTAAATACACAAGTTATTTGTCGGCTATAATCCTATCTTGTGTGAGATTCGATCGATCGGCAACGTCAGAGCGACAACAAAATAGATCTGCATAGTGGGTAACCTTTCGTGTGGAATCGCTTGATGACCTTTTATGGCGGCATTGATAATTAACTCTAATAAATAACATTTCATAATTGTTAGGTTTTAATGAATTAGACATTGAGAATGAGAATAGAGTTAGGGTAAAAAAAATTCAAGTACTAACAATAAAAAGTGGATACATAAAATATTTTTTTAATTTTTAAATTTGAAATTGTAAGAAAAATAATAGATTTAATCAAAATAATATATATATATATATATATATATATATATATATATATATTAATACTAGTATTTTTAACTCATATATTATACGAAAGTATTATGTCAAAAATATAAATTTTTAAAAAATTATTTTAATGAATTAAATATTTATAATGTATATAATTTTAAAAGAAAGAATTTGAATAAAAGATATATGGTCACAATAAAATTTTATAATAAAGAAATATATGTGTATATAAAAAATTATACTTTTTTATCTGAAGACAAAATTAACAAATAAAAATTAATAATAATTTTTTATATTTTATATCTTTTCAAAAACTTTTTTAAACGTACATAAATAGTAAGAATAATATTATTTAGATTCAATAGATTATAGTTGTACTTGTAATATATATATTGCATAGAAAATATTATTTTAAATTAAAATATAAAAAATAAAATTTAAATATTATCAATAAATAATAAGTTTATGGTAATAGTAGGTTATTGTAAAATTCATAAAATATTTATAATATATTTATTATTTATCATTCACTTTATGATTTAAATATTAATATAATTTTATTAACAAAAATATTTGTGTGAAAAATATTTTATGTGTGTCATAAATAAATAATATTTAAAAAAATCAATCTCATATCAACTATGTAATAATTAAATATTATTAGCCTAATTAAATGGTATAAAATAGTAAATAAATTTTCTATTAAAAATATAAACAAAAATAATTTCGGTTTACTTTTTTATTAAATATATTTTTATATTAATCTTATATAATTTCACATAAGTAATATAATAATATAAAAATTCAATGCATAATTATAGAACAAAGTTCAAGTATATATATATGTGGGTATGGGACGGAGTGAATACTTAGAGACCTATACCTATTCCTATTAAAATTTACGAGTTTTTATTCACACTCATACCTATACCCATATAACGGATAAATACCTTACTTATTATGAATAAATTTTGTAGGTGTTCATCGAATATTTTACCTATTGTCATCCCTAATTGGAACCACCATAGGAGCAGTGTGGAGGAGAAATCAACTGGCTACGGGTTACGTGGTAACCTAGGTGAGTTTCATCTCCGTAGAAATAGCTAAACATTACAGTTTCTCATTCGTTTTAAACGAATTTTGACAAAAGATAATTTTAACTTAAACTAAACAAAATTTTTTTTAGCTTAAATAAAATTGATTTAAGCAATTTTTTTTTAATTTAAGTCAATAATATTTTTTTTTATATCAAAATCTGGTGAAGCAAATAAATTGCTTAAGCGAATGAAACATTGTAACTTGTACTTCTTGCCGGCGATCCGAATTTCGAGGACAGTACTAAATCTTTACAAAGCCACGTGTGTAGATCTACAAAACTCACCAACATCCACATAACAAAGGATTTTTACAAATACAGCTACACATATTTTAAGACAATTATCCTGCACATGATTCTTTAGAGCCATCTATCTTGACAATCCAATATGTATCAGTAATATTTAAGAAAAATCACTATTTTAAGAATTTATAAAATTTT